CACAGCTCAACTGGGAACTTAACCACTTACCAGTCCAATTATTTAAATACAGGATGATCCAAGATTGCATATTTTTGTGAATTTTTATAAGATAATATAAGATAATATAACAGGAAATATGAAAAATGACAATATTGTCAAATTTATTCAATACAAGAATCTACTGGTTGAAATGGCGCCTGCTTGAGTGATGCTAGGGATGGTATGTAAACAAAAGTGCTGCCCACGTGATGCTTGGAGGACACTGCTAAGTGGTTAATAATTCTATATGACTGCACAACATACTGGGTATTTATTACAGTGTCTCTTTCCTCATCTATTAAAAAATAATGGTCTTAACATTCGCCATGGTGATAAGGGTAAAACGAGAGCCTTATATTAAGGGCTTAAGCCAGAGTTTAGCAACTAGCTGGGTTTTATTAACACTGACTACGAGAAAGGGCATGTATTCACAATCACTGTAGACAGGAATTGATAATCAGGTTGTAACAAACGTACCTCAGAGTGCACGTGTTCTAGGAAACATATATTTGTATCTGGTTGGTTTGTAAAATATTTTCTCTGAGAGCCCATCTTTTCTTGATTATTTAGAATGTATTGATTTACGTATATTTTAAATGTTCATTATTGGTATTCACTCCAGACAGCATTTTCCCTATTTTATGGAAAATGAAGAGATCTAGAGATGCTTCTGCACATTTGAAATCTAGCTCCTAAGAAATCTCTGGAGCAAAAAGATCACAATTTCAAGATTAAAATGGGTAATTTATCAGGAGTTTGTATTGCTAAGCAACCAACATAAAATACATTGTAAAACTCTATGAAATTCAAGTAGTAAACAGTATCATGTCTCTGAGAAATGGGTAAAAATATCTAACTCCTAATTAAAGTCGCAAATTTTAGCAGATTTCAGAAATGCAACACAGGAATTTATTTCAAGCCCCTTAATATTTTTTGGAGAACCCAGATAGATTACTTAAAGGTACAAATTTCCAATGATGAATGTCATTATATTGTATACCTAAACTGTACCAATAAAATAAATTTAATAATAATAATAACAATTTTAGGGGGGTACTGGGGATTGAACATAGGACCTTGCACTTGTGAGACAGGCATGCTGCCACTGAGCTAAATCCCCGGCTCCACTTAATATTCGTCTACTACATATTAGATAAATTTCAAATGTTTATAAAGTACAAATCATATGTTTTTTCAAACAAATAGGCAACTCTTAAAAATCATTTTGTTATGATATATGGAATCTTTCAATTACAAAATATAAATATTAGATTGCTTATAATAAGGAAAACTACAAATTATAGGGGAGGAGTGGCTTTAAAAATCTCATGTATTTTCTTTTCCAAGTGTAGGTGGAAGGAATCAAGTATCATTGTCACATGAAGGAGGTGCTCTACCACTGGACCAGATTTCAATTCCACCCACGTGTTACTTATACAAAATACATTACTCTATTGTTTCAACAGAAAATCATGAAACATATTTGTAAATGTATAGGATTAGGTGACAAATGTGGTATAAAATATAAAAATTTGGGATAAGGAATATTTTCATTTAAATTTAAGAAATACATTTAGCAAAGCACTTCATCAAAAATATACAACCAATAATTAATGAAAGAGAAATCAATATATTGGAAAAGATGGACAAGATAAGGGTATTATAATAATAACAAGAAAGGTATAATTAAAAAATCAAAAAATGAAAACAAGAAATAATTATAAAGGTCATGGATATTTTAAATTATGAGAACATATCTCAGTAAGTATCCTGGGAAGGCCATAAACTTTGGTCTTACATTAGCTTTCTAACTGCTGTAATTACACATACATACCATTGCACCTGGCTAAGAAATGCTATATTAAGAAACTTGAAAATATAACAAAATTGTGGTTTAATGAATTTTAGTAGATAAATAAATTCTTTAAAATATATAAAAGTTCAAAGTTGGTATTAGAAATGGGAGGCTGGAAAGTTAAAAGAAGGTGGCAAGACACTGAAGTGACAAGCACATACCTCCCATTACAAATTGATCTCCCGTTGGGATGGGGGTGCATGCCTTAAATCCCAGCACACAGAAAGCTGAGGCAGGAGGATCACCATAAATTTAAGCCAGCCTGAACTGAATAGCAAGACCCTAAAAAACTAAAAAAACAATTTTTAAATTAAAAAGAAAAATCAATCTCCCAGTGAGTTTACAAGTGATTCCCTGAAACTTTTAAGATATTGGTCAAGATGTACTATACATATGTGCCAATGAATATGTTTATTATATATTATAAAATTACATGAATTAAAAGCATTATGATAAAAATCAGTTATATTCAGGTAGGTATGGTCTCACATGTATGTAATGCAAGATAAAAAAGAAAACTATGCTGCACATTTCATCAGTTAATGCAACTTTTACCTAAAACCAGACAAGTGTTTACAAAAATAAAGAATTATAGACACTCTACACCTAGGCATGCAGATTTTCCATACAAGATAAAACATTACCTAGTAAAATACAAGGGCATAACAGAACATATTAGTTATCCGATATCATGAGTGCCTACCCTGGGTGATATCCTGGGTTCCATCCACAGTACATACCATGCATGCATTCACACACACACACACACACACACACACACACCACTATATTATAATAAAGTGGTGTTTGATAAAAAAAAAAGATGTCTCAGTGCCAGAAATCTATCATAAAATTGATTGCAAAAATCAACAAAGGAAAACCTCATCTAACTACATATTTAAATCTTGGCATAAATATATTTTCTAAACCTCAATTTCTATTGTTTCTTAAAGGCTTCTAAAGAGGACAAAATTAAAATAAGATTAATTACAAGGTAAAGCACAAAGACGATAAAACTAGAAGATGGGATGCTGAATGGAGACACAGTACATGTATTATATAAAATCAGAAAAAAGTTTATTCACCGTTACCACTATTCAGTTACAGAAAACCAAATTTCATTTGTGATGTCATAAGGCAAGAAATCAGAAATAAATGACATAAGGACTCAAATGAAAGGAATAAAATTGCCATTCCTGAAGGAACAATCAAGATGTAACACTTTAGAACAATGAGAAAGACCTATGAACAATGAGAGAAATCAACTGAAAATCATCAGTTTCTCATAGTATTAATATTCACAGAATTATTTCAATATAACAAAGGTCAGCAATTCCCAGTAAGAGCACCAATTATAAAGAAATTTCTCTTGTTTAGCTCTCAAACCCAATATAGATTCACCACAGAAACACCTACTGGTCATTAGTTCATTGATTAACCACCAGTTTGTACCATATTAGAAGTTAAAATAGAAAAAAAAATTAAATTTTTTTTATTAGTAGAATCAAAAAGTGCAAGTGTAGATCTATGACATGTAAATATAAGTAACACTTTAGGGGGGAAAATATATTACAAAAACTACATTAGAAGAGGGGCAGGGATGTAGCTTAGTGACACTGCACCTGCCTGGCAAGCTCAAAGTCCTGAGTTCCATTCCCAGTACAAAAACAAAAAATTAGAAGATTGACCTTCTTCAGTTTTTGGAAATACTTCAAATGTATAGTATCCTTTAAAAAGAATACTAGACATTCATTCCACTCTGCTTACTCCTTTAGTTGTGCCAGTATGATGTTCTATTGTAGAAAACGTCTCACCTTCCACTGGAAAATAAGGACTTCACACTGAGAACTGATCTCAAACAACACCACGCATTTATATACTATATCCACTTTCATAACATTATTTAAAAACAATATACATTATTCATTAAAAAGTTGCAAAATCTTCAAAGAGAAAGATGAAAATACATTGAAATGAAATTGGAGATGATGTGAATACATAGGGAATAATTTATAGCCTTGGATGAGATGTGATATGCTACAAATCCTTCAAATTGCATCTTGAATGGAAGTATATATGTAATACCAGTGAGTCAAATATAAATTTCACAAAAATCTTCTAAAATCCCTTCTGAAAAACCAATAACATTGGTATATTTTCAGATCTCAAATAAAAGGGGAGAGGTGTCCCTTTGTATTGTGTGGAACACGCTATACAGTTACAGTCATTTAAGTGTGAATCTCAGACATGTAGACACGTGAAATTTATAAATACTACTGATTTACTCAAAACAGATTGGGCAAGGGTGGCAGTGCAAACCAGGAGGAAGAGGTAAGGGATCATTCCATCATGGTGGTAAAACTGCTCATATTACAGGTCAAGTGAATCTGACTTTAGCATTTCAATCTTCCAAAGGTGCAATCCAGAAAAAAATATATAAAATAAGTTTACTTTAAAAAATGCAAAAAGAGTAACAGGATTTCAACTCAGCAAAGAAAATATTGGCCAAAGTTAACAGATGAAAAGTTGTGAGAAGCTTTTCTTTTTTTACTTTCTACAAATGATAAGGAAATAACTGTCTCATTATATAAAAAAAGAATCTTCTCAAAAAGAATCTTCACAAGTACGAGCACATGCTGAGTAAGTAATGTACAGAAGAGCTTATATAGTAAAATGAAAGGGCATAAATACAAAAAAAAATGAAAATAACCAATTGAATTTCATTGTGAAACCCTAAAAATCATCAAATTAGAAGAAGTCCGGTGTTGGGCATGAAGAGAAACCAGCACAGGGCTCCCTGCTGGCATCAGTGTGGGTGGTGTAAATGAGGGTGCAAAATGCACAAACTGTGCACGAGCAAACACGCTCTGGAATGTCTCCGCATTTCCTCAAATCTTTCTCTAGGGAGCAGGAAATAGGAATAAAATGATCCCCGTAGCATTTTACATCACTAAAGAACCGGAGAACCCGCCCTCCAGGCCCTGGGCTGCTCAGATCCAGAGCCCGACCCGGCTGACTCTAAGCAGGTACCAAGCCCCAGTCCACACAGCCGCTTCCGGCCCTTCCAGCCGACCTCAAGTGCGTCCCACCCCGCGTCAGGGCACCTTCCTTCCTGCGCCATTACCATTGTGCGGCTTCCCAGAGTGTTTCCCACGCAGCTCGGAGATGTCAACGGTCACGGAGCAGGCGGTCCAGCAGGCCAGACCCTAACAGCGCGTTTCGGGTTCAGACTTAAGCGCCATGACAGGCGAAGAGCACTCTTGCTACGGCCCATCTGATTGGACAGTTCATAGAGCCCCGCTGATTGGCTCCTGCTCCACTGCCCACCCTCTGAATTAAGAGTGACAGCAAAACCAAATCCCTGTCAGTGGACCCAAATGACAGATTGTAACCCAGCGACTTCTAGACCAATGTCTCTGCCAGGATGTCGCCTGGCCTAGCCTGAGTAAGGAATGCATGTAAGCAGAGTTTGCTGTGGGCTTTGCAAAGATGCCCCGGGTACCTGACTGGATTCCGTGAGCTCTTCCTGCGCGTTGCTCCTGAAAGAAGGATCACACGTGTGCGCAGACATTTCCAGGGTCAGCAGCCATGGAGGTGACCCCTGATGTCAGGAGTCCAGGACAGGTCAGGACACAATGGAACAGAGGGAGGGCCCGATCTTGGGAGTGGTTAGAGTGAGGCAGTTGGCTTCACAGCCAAGACTTTCTCACACCCTCTCTTGATCTACTCATTTTCAGCCTCGAAAAATAAATACATACATATGCCAAAGAATTTCTACTGAGGAAATGAAGAAAGTAGAATTAAATGAAAGTAATATTCTGCAAAGGAGTCAGGAAGAAATAAAACCAAACATTTCAACTGCTTCAGACAGGTAACCTACTTCATTCAAAGTTGCAAAGAAAACCTCAGTTCTGAAAATCAACATATTTCTGAGCATGAGAGCTAGAATGATTGCTGAAATGAAGGCTGATAATCACTTCCTGGTGATGAGGCAGGGACTCCAAGGACTTCAGAATGTAAGGCCACATGCCAGAGAGTTGCCTCCTAGAAGATCTGTAAAACCCTAATATTCACTAGAAGGAAATTGTTAGCTGAAGACAGGTGAGGCTCTTGATTGCCAACTAGCTTGCCCTGAGGGATGGGGAGGATATTAGCAAAGCACACTTCTGGGTGTGTCAGAAGTGTGACTTATGTTGCCCATATCTGGTGTCTGGTCCTTTCCTCTGGGCTCTTTCCCTCATAAGATAATTACATTTCTTTCTTGTTTCCTTTCACCAGGATGTTGCTGTTTTAGAGAAAATCAACCACCCACTGCAAGAGTAAACACAAGTAAACACATAGAATATTATGTTATGTATCATACTCCAGGAATTCTGACACAAGAGCTTCTCAGCTCCTTGAAAACTCTGAAGTGAAAATCCTGCACTTTGTGTGATAATTAGATGGCTAATGGTTGGGTTACTGTTGATAGCTTCTCATGAAAAAATGATCTAAAAATCCACATAGACCAAGTAATACTTAAAAACTGCAACTTCTAAGACTCACATTTATAACTGGGAAGTAGGTTGAAAGTTTAAACCTCACCTATTGTACCTGTGAAAAGGAGGAAAGAGGTCAAAACTTAGTTCATAATCAAAACAAAAAGCCTATGTTTGTGTCAATATACCAGGAAATTATTCACTTGTAAGGGAGGCTATTGTCTTCACTCTATGACATTTAGCCCCATCCTTATCTAAATGTATTAAGATGCTAGTAAATTCCACTCCTCCATCTGTTTCCTGAAGACTAGAATCCATCCTGATTGAAAACTGAGAGACCTAAGTTAGTTTAAGAGACTCCATTTTGTCTGAACTGCCCCAGTCCTGATGGGAAAACTGTCCTCTGTGTGAACTCTGAAGGGGAGGGGATCTTATCTCATGTTGCACTCCTGTGTGATGTCTCAACACACCAGATGTTCTTATCTCGTGCCTATACTCCTGTTTTCAATTGATGCTTAAGGGTTTAGAGGAACAACTACCAAGAGTGCACATGGAACCCACCCATCGTAAATAACCGGATGTGTGTTTATATTTTATAAGGGCTGGTTTTACATTATGTATCTGGTAACCCAGAGGTGCTAACCACGCAGTCTTTCCCGCTTCTGTAGATATGCTTACTGCAGGGCTAGGGAGGAAAGGGTTTTCTTTATAAAAACTGACCAAAAGTTCAGTCTGGGGCCAGTCTCCTTGCAGGGGATTTGGTCCCAGTCAGAAATAAAGTTCTCTGCGGACTTCACATTGTGTCGTGACTCTGGTGATTATTGCTGTTGGGGACTTAGTCCCAACATAAATCACACATGTAGCAGCCTTACTGAGCATCTAGGTGGGCTGATTGAAAAGACACCTAGAATGGGCAAAGATTCCAGGCCACTTTCTCAACCAGAAAAATTTCTCTATTTCTCTTTGCCCCTTCCTTCCCTCAGTGTGATGTCAGGGCTTCCCTTGGCACACCTCTAACCTCCCCTGGGTGCCAGGGCCCCAGGCTGAGCTACAGGGAGTTGTCTTCTCTCAGGGAACCTACAAGGTGACAAAGGGAAAAGCAGCCAGGAATCCAGACATAATGTTCCAGAAACTTCTCTCAACCCTGGAAGAAAATGACCCAGAACAGTGAATGACAAATGTTTAAAGTTACCAGGCTTCAAATTAGCAAGAACATTACAAACCAACCTAGCCTTGTGATAGGTCTCCCACTACCTCAGCAGCTATTATGTATAGTAGCTGCCCTCTTCCTATGGTGCCTTGCCCCCTCCCCTGTGTGACGTCATGCCAAGATGGCTGCTCCCACCAAAGAACAAACCCTTCTTCCCAGCATGCCCCTGGTCCCACCTAGAAAGTAACCTAATACTGGCTCACCTCCTACCACCTAGTGACATCACTGGCTCCTCCACTCCCTAGTCACTACCTCACTCAACCCCACCTCAGCCCCTACAAACTCCACCCCAGTCTCTATAAAATACTATCCCTGCCCTGGCCATATTGCTTTTGTCTCTCCTTTGTTCAGAGACAGTCCAGCAGATCTATTCCCCTAATAAAGGCTTGTTGTGGCCTGGTCTGGTCTTGGTTTTCGGCCCTTTTACCTGACACCTTGTATTTCTCAAAAAACTTTTTTTTCAATGCTTATAAAAGAAAATTATAGGGAAGGGGAAGGGACATTGCCAAAACTCCTACAGTAGGTCCTGGCCTCCTGTGAACCACTTCAGCACAAGAACATAAAGGCAGGAAACAAAACTTAGAGCAAAGCTGGGTCTTGGGACCTGATCAATGCTGCTGTAAAAAACAAAGACAAAGGCCCCCAAGCGCATCTAGTATTTATTGAATACAACCCTGGGAAGGAATAGGGACCAGGGGATGCTTTGAAAGATTCTAGTGAATTACTGCCAAATACCTGGCAAGATGGCACCAGGCAGGGCTGTTAGGGAGAAAGTGCTGCTTATCTTGCTTGGATAGAAAAAACAGGTACTGGGACCTGAGGTAAAAGGCCGAAAACCAAGACCAGACCAGGCCACAACAAACCTTTATTGTAGGGACAATCTGGTGGGCTGTCTCTGAACAAAAGAGACATAAAGCAATATGGCCAGGACGGGAAGTGCCTTTTATAGGAGCAGGGGTGGGGCTTGTAGGAGCTGAGGTGGGGTTGAGTGAGGTAGTGGCTAGAGACTGGAGGAGCCTGTAATGTCACTAGTTGCTAGGAGCAGAGCAAGTATTAGGTTACTCTTTTGGTGGGAGTAGGGGCATGTTGGAAAGAAGGTAGCTATTATATACAGCAGCCACCCTAAATTGGAGGGAAACCTAGCAGGGACCAGGTGCAATTAGCAAGCAACCCATTGAGTCAGTGAGAAGTCATAATTTAGGGGAAAGGATTTTAACTGGAGTCAAGTTGCACCTAACTCAGCAAAGCCCTGCTGCTTCACAGACCAGGACCTAGGCCTTAGAGACAGCCATTAGCAAAGCAGCAATGCTAGCCCACCTCTGCTCTCTGGCATGCCCATTCGAGTCATTCAGAGCTTCTGTCTGACTCCTAATATAAAACAGTATAGATGAATTAGGGAAGGCAAGAAGCATGTACCACTCATTGCTTGCTACTACTGGGCAGGGATGTCTGCTACAGAAAATATGACCCAAGAAATTTATGCCTGACCAAACTGGTGTTGGAATATAGTTTCCACCTGTACAAACTTGGGAGTTTTCCCTAGAGTCCATCCTTACTGGACAGAGCCTACCAGACCACACAAATGTGTTCACATATCTGTGTGTATAATTTGAACGTACGAGTTACATGATTACATTTATTTATTCACTATGTACTATGAAATATTGACAGATAATATTATTTATTGAATAAAAACAAAGTTTGTCCCACAGGATAAAAACGCTCACCTCAGCAGGACCCCGAGTGCAGGTGAGGCCTGGTCTCCATCTGCTGTGGCCCACGGCTCCTGACACCCAGGACTCAGCAGGGTAGGAGCCATCCCTTCAGGGAACTGTGAGGACTGGGCCTCGGGGAGGGGCTGTCACCAGGACAGCCATCTCCCTGGCAGGGTGACTGAATGCCAGGGCTTGCTCAGTTGTTTCGGGTGGAGCCCTGGGCCTAAGGTCACTGAGTCCAAAACCTCGGGGGTGGGGCAGTGGAGAGACCACCCCCTGGGACTGAGCAGGCCAGAAAAGGTGAGGAGAGAACCAGTCACAGGGACCTGGTGTGTGGTGATCCCAGTGCTTGCTTGCACCATATCCTTCCCCTGCAGGCAACCTTCTCATGTGGCTGCTACCTGGTGCCCCCCAGAATGTGTGCAAGAGCAGAAGGTAGAGCTTTGATTTCTTAATTTATTCCTTTTAATTGTCAAAATTGTATGTATTTATCATGTAGATGTTTCAACATGTATTTCATTGTGCAGTGGCTAAACTGAATTAATTAACATATGCATTACCTCACATATTTGTCAATTTTGTGGAGAGAGCACCTACATTCTACTCTAGTGGTCTGCAAGAACATAATAAGAATATAACATATAGGCCTGGGGATTTAGCTCAGTGGCACCACACCTCCCTTGCGAGTTCAAGGTCCTGAGTTTGATGCCTGGTACTGGGGGTGAGGGAGGGAGACTATGACATATTGTTATTCACTATAAGCACCACATTGTGCAGGACAGCTCTCCATCTCATCCCTCCTGCCTAACTGAAGTCCTTTGTCCTAGGACTGACTTCTCCCTAATTCTCTCCCCTATCCCTGTCACAGTTACCATTATTCTATTCTCTGCTCATGTGAGTTCTACTTTATCAGATTCTATGAGTAAGTGAGGTCGCCCTGGGTAAGTCTCCAGACTATGTCTCATGCCTGCACATCCAGGACAGGAATCAGAATGATGTTGCATCCAACAGGGGTCACACACTTGACAGTGGTCCCATAGGATTAGAACATCTACTGATGTCATGGCTGAGGCAGGATGATCATTGTGAGTTGGAGGCCAGTCTGGGCCAGTCTGGACTGCATAGTGATATCAATGGCAGCCTAAAATGCATATCTAGACCATGTCTAAAAAACCAATTAAATAAACAAATAAAGGAAA